AGTACGTTAAGCTTTTGGGGGAGTGACAATAAGAAACATCAAAAAGGTGAAAAAGCATACTACAGTATTACAATAATGCCATTGGCAATCCCCCATACAAAAGTACATGCATAGCCCACCCATGACACACACTTGGACGCTGGAGTGGCGGCTGTAGGCACGGTGGTTGGCACTTGATGGCGCGGTGAAGAGAACACTTGTTACAGTCTCCCCCACTCAATTCAACCTTCATCCTCGAAGATTAGCTTCTGCTTAAGGCTTGAACTTGTTGTGGTGAAGGAAGGTTCTTCGACTGTTCCATGAACCAGGTTTCTTCCAAGGCCCAGATAGTAGGTTGGGTAGATTGTTGGTGGATGTTCTTGATGGTGGGAAAACCTATGGCTAGTCCCTAAGTTAAGTCCCTGCTTGGTTGCTTCAAAGTAGGATTTTGACTTGTTCCTGATGGTGGTAGGAAAGTTGGTGGCCAACGCTGGGTCAAGATGGTATTTTGTATTGTTAGGGTGTTGGTTCCCATTGATTTTTCCCCAAGGGTGACTCACAAGGCTACTACGTGATTCAGTCTGAGGGATGGTGCGAAAGTGGTCCCTAGGCGGCTTGGGTGGCACTCGCTTTCCCTTGTGGTTGTGGTAGTAGGTGGGGGCGAACTTGGACACGGCCTTGGGTCTTCTGCTTTGCTTGATGGTTGTCGACGCGCACGAACTCTATTGCCGGAGAGGTGTAGACGGCTGGATGGCCTGCTGCTGTTGTAGTTGTTGGCTTGAGGGGCGGCGACTTCTTCAGCTAGTGGAGTGGGGAACTTCTCTGCTTCCTTCATGTTGGCGTTGAACAAGGCTTCTTCGTGAAAAAGTTGTAGTGTAGAAACTTGCTTCCCATGAACCYTAGTAGAAGTCGTAACTGGTACCATGCAAGGGGAGCGCTCGTCCAAGATGCACAGAGAGTTGAAGTGAAGCAGGAGTGCTGCTTCTGCTTGTCTCATGAAGTCCATTCCCAAGACAACTCGGAAGTCATCCAGGGGTACCACTGAAAGATTAATCTTACTTGTACACGACCCAACTTGGAGGTCAACCCCACGAGCTATGCCTTCAATCGCCTTTGCCCCGGAGTTTACGGCCTTGATCCACCATGTCTCTTTCACAGTGTTCAGATTGAGTCGCTTAGCCTCGGCAACTGAAATGAAGTTGTGGGAGGCCCCTGTATCAACAAGGGCTTGAGTCGGCTTCCCGCCGAGGAGGATGTCTACATACTTCAGCCCCCTTTGGGCTTTCTTTGGCCTTCCATGATTGGCCTCTTTCTTCACCATGGTGTTGAAGAGTTGAAGGGCGCCCACTCTTGGCGCCTACACAGACTTTGCCTCATCACTTTGCCCGTCATCACTGAGCTTGGCGACAAGGGCATTGATCTTCTTCTTGGTTGGGCTGTTGCGAACCAAGTGATTTCCCCCACAAAGGAAGCAAGAAATTGGGGACCCAGTGGTTGGGCTTGTAATGGTGCTGAGGACCTTGCTCTCCTTGTGGCTTCTTCCCATAGTCTTGTCCTGCTGGCTTGTTGAAGCTGGAGTTGTCGTACGGAGGGTGTGAGCGACTTACTCCCTCACTCAAATTAGGGGAACACGGGCTTTCTGGCTTAGGGGCTTCTTCATCTGACAAGCTGGTCTCATTGAGTTGCTCTGCCACTGCCATTGCCGTGGCGAGATCCTGTACGTTGCAGCGTTGGAGTTCTAGTTCGGCCCATGGCTTCAGTCCGTCCATGAAGTTTAATAGTAGATCCTTGTCGAACATGTCCGTGATCTCTAAGGTAAGGGCTGAAAACTCTTTAACATAATCGTGGAGTGAGTCCCTTGCTTGAGTGCTTTCAACTTCTTCCGCGCCAGGTACTCCACGTTCTCTGGGTAGAATTGCCGCTTTAGTTCTTGCTTGAAATCAACCCATGTCTCAATGGTGCACGTACCCCATCCAATGTCTTGGCATCGCCTGCGCCACCATAGCATAGCAATGTCAGTCAAATACATGATCACTGTACGAATTTGCGTTAGGTCATCATCAATGCCAGCGGCACAAAAATATTGTTCCATTTGCCATAAGAAGTTGTCAAGTTCTCTAGCATCTCGGGAGCCGGCATAAGGTGTGGGCTCC